CTCTCTACAGAGCCTAGAAGGATTATCAAAACATACTATAATGCCTTAGTCGGAATATCTGCCAGTATAAAGTATGGTACATTGGTGTTAAGTGATTTCTCCGCGGCCGGGGACTCACGTGCGGCGGTAACTGGATCCGCCGTTGAAACACGCCAGTCCGTAGAGACACGGTGATCTATCAAGGTATCTGATGGCAAGAAACCACAGTTGCTCTACCTCTGGTTCCCATAGAGTTCAAGGCTTCAATGCGCCGTCGACGCTTTTAAGTTCACACAATCCCATTATCCTGGACCTGCACATTAACTTCAGTCGCCCGTACCGTCGAGCTTAATTAATCCTTCCATCCCCTCACTTCGAATCGCTTCCAACCTCGCCACCGTGCAGTTTGGACCTTCCTTCGCGGCCGGTTTAGCTTCTGCGCATATTCCTCAACGGCGAATCAAATCACAGAATGACCTCCTATTTCTCTTCGATTACCTCGTCGTCAGCGATCTCCAACATCAGCACGCGGCTCAACTCCCTCCGCCGTGCCATCACGTCCGGAGATGAGGCCGACGACCCAGAGAACGAAGACTGCTCTCACATCTCCAACGTCCTGCGTGCCTACTACACAGAGAAAGGCCGGCCCTTTCCATCATGGCTCCCTCCGGACCCTAAAGCTCCAGCACCCGCACCTTCCCGAACCATCGCAACCACTCAGATCCAGCCAGGCGCCTACGGACACGGTTCAGCGGTCACGACCTCAGCCCCGGGACGCGGTGGCGGCCTGAGCGATCTATGGGGAGACTCGGGAGCTTCTCAGCAACCACCAGCATCACAAACGGCCAGTCTGCGACGAGGACGTCTGGCACCCGGGAGCGCAGGCGCCCCGCTTTCGATGGTGCACAGCGCTCCCTCTGGCTCAGTGGTGACACCTCCCTCCGCATCACCCACCCCGCCGAGCGCGCACCCGTCCGGGGCACGACCTCTCCCCAGTCAGCGAGCGGGATCGTATCAGGCAATTGCATCAGGCCAGGCCTCTCTTGAGCGGGCTGCGTCTGCGCAGGAGAGACTGCGAGCGCGATTGCATGGAGGGCGGTCGCCTAGCCCGGCCCAGACTCCTCCGGGTGGCAGTCGGCCGGGGTCACCGTATTACGGGGGAGGAGCAGATCCGAGTGTGCGAAAGCCGGTTGGAATGCCGCCGGGACGACGTTAAGAGCGAGGGATTTGGGTTGTTACTGCTCAACGGCCAGTAAATGAAGCTTTTATGTCTTAATATTACTACGGAGTACTAATTTCGAGTCCAACGCTCGAGATGGACATCGCTGGATGGTGCCTGTCTGAGATCTGTTGCGCAGAAGTCTGTACACAGCGTTGAGCCATTTTGCTTGTTTTTTTTGTAATTATCTCTTCAACATCTTAGAAATAATACTTCTCCTCGGATCGATTTAGTATTCCCAAGTCTCTTTGTGAAATCTTTGGGGGGTCATAGACTCCTCAGAACTGCGTAACCTCTACAGACCGTGAGTGCCCGGTAGACACGTGACCTTACCGAGTTCCCCACAGGCTGAATCGTCCCTTGGTTGTTCTTCTCATGGTCTGAGTCTGACCAGTGTGGGACACTCACACTAAGCCTTTTGGCACGGAATCTTGAGCCCACCACGGCGAATGAAAGTCTCGGGTGCATTTCGAGGGCAAGTACTGCCTTTCTTGGCTGATTCGTCTCGGGATGTGTCCGTCTTGGTGGCGTGCAGCGAGCAATCAGCATCCCGGTTCGTGACCGGACGATTGATTCAGCAATTGGACACTTCGGGATCGACCAGTGTTAAATGCCTCATTCCCATTATTCCCATTAGCTAACTGGCGACAACTCGGAGTTTCGACCACAGACTGATGATGCAATTGGATGGAATTCCACCGAAGTGTCTCCGAGACTTTCGGGATGGTTGCGTGGTGCCGTGCACGAGTGGGAGGTCAAGATTTTGCTCTGACTGGCTATGGTGTGCCCGGGCTTGCACTACATGAATCGAAGTTTTCTAGTCGCGTCCACTTCTCTTCTCCAGACCTCCTCCACACCAACCCGACTTTTTTGCCTCCACGGGGATTCGTCTCGTTCCCCCAACCTTTGCTGCGTCAAGCCTCCGCATGCGGCATACTTTGCACCATTACCAAGTATGTACTCTGCAGATGGCGCTCATTGAGTTCATGGAGTTGAGTTTATCCCTGCTAGTCAAAATCATCGATAGGCTGGGAAAGACTGACTGACTCGGAATGCCTCTAGGATGAGCACCACACCAACCATGGTCATTGGCCGTGATCATCATTCCTTAAGCTTCGGCCACTCCTCCCCACCGTTCCAGAATGCTTCTTGCTGTTAGCCTGTTGGAAGCCTGTAGATAGTCCACGGAGTAATCTGTTCCAAACTTCCATGATTCCATCGGTTACGCTGGCCTCTTTTTCTCTGGTTTTCTTTCTGTCCCCACTTCCCCGTTAGAGTCTTGTCCCGCTTGTTTCCTGCCCTGAACCCGTGATGACTGTCACTCCGCGGCCCAGGACTGTACCCCGGGATGCCGTGCCCGTATAAATATCCCCCGGGTTTCTTCCCTTTTCCCTCGTTTTTAATCATTCTTCTCTCCAACTCCTCTCTACAGGCGGGTGTCCTCTTCCTATCTAGAAGACTGTGACTTTGTAGGGAACGGCAGGTCCTCCCCTCTTCTCTTTCTGCTTTAGGTAAAGCCTTCCTTAGGTGAAGCTCTACTGCCTCTGGCTAGCTCTCAATACACTACTCTTTTTATAATCGTTTCTCCTGCTTTGCCTGTCATGGCTGTCAAAGATGTCGAGGTCCCTCTCGACGACCACAAGGAGGTCGCCGAAGAGATGGATGATATTCGAAATGATCCCAAGTCCGAGGCTTTCAACGAAGCTGCCATGGATGCCGAGCTCCAGCAGCTGGAAGAACAGCTTGGTGCCATCAAGAAGTCTCGGTTTGAGCTCACTTTCGCCAACCCCGCCTACTTCACTTATGTTCTGGTGGCCTTTGCATCTATGGGTGGTCTACTCTCTGGTCTGGATCAGTCGCTGATCAGCGGTGCGAACCTCACCATGCCCAAGGCTTTGCATCTGTCCGCCTCGCAAGCTAGTTTGGTCAACTCCGGTATGCCCCTCGGTGCCGTCGGCGGTGCCCTGATCCTCAGTCCTTGCAACGAGTACCTTGGTAGGCGCATGGCCATCATTGTCTCCTGCATCCTTTACACTATTGGTGCTGGACTCGAAGCCGGTTCCATTAACTTTGGCATTATGTTCGCCGGCCGTTTCATTCTTGGCATGGGTGTCGGTCTTGAGGGCGGTACTGTCCCTGTCTACGTCGCCGAGTCTGGTAAGCTTCCTCCTGTCCGCTTCAATCTTTTGGCGAGGACTGTTACTGACTGATGTCTAGTCCCCGGGAAGATCCGTGGTAACTTGGTCTCTTTGTATCAGTTGAACATTGCTTTGGGTGAAGTCCTCGGCTATGCGGTAGCCGCGATGTTCTTTGGTGTCGCCGGTGACTGGCGCTTCATTCTCGGCTCTTCCCTGGTCTTCTCGACCATCCTTCTGGTCGGCATGCTGTTCATGCCTGAGAGCCCCCGTTACCTGATGCACAAGGGAAGACCGGTCGAGGCGTACGGTGTGTGGAAGCGTATTCGTGGCTTCGATGCTTACGAATCCAAGGAGGAGTTCCTGGGCATGCGCCAAGCTGTCGCCGCGGAGAACGAGGAACAAGCCAGCACCAAGAAGTGGGCCTGGCTGGACTTCTTCACCGACGGCCGGGCTCGCCGCGCCATGATCTATGCCAACATCATGGTATTCCTCGGTCAATTCACGGGTGTGAACGCAGTTATGTACTACATGGGCGTCCTGATGACGAAGATCGGCTTCGACGACCGTACCAGTGTCTATATGTCGCTCGTTGGAGGTGGAGCCCTGTTGATCGGTACTATTCCCGCAGTGCTGTATATGGAGCGGTTCGGCCGACGCTACTGGGCCAACGTTATGCTTCCTGGTTTCTTCATCGGTCTTGTGCTCGTGGGAGCTGGCTACGCCGTCGACTACAATACTTATCCTGCCACGGCTGAGGGTCTCTATCTGACCGGTATCATCCTTTACATGGGCTTCTTCGGCTCCTATGCCTGCTTGACATGGGTCATCCCCGCCGAGGTGTTCCCCACCTATCTCCGTAGTTACGGCATGACCACTGCGGACGCCAACCTCTTCCTGTGCTCCTTCATTGTCACCTACAACTTTACCGCGATGATGAACTCAATGACTCGTATCGGTCTCACTCTCGGCTTCTACGGAGGTATCGCCGTCCTGGGTTGGTTCTACCAGATCCTCTTCATGCCCGAGACCAAGAACAAGACCCTCGAGGAGATTGACGAGCTTTTCTCCAAGCCTACCTCGGTTATTGTCAAGCAGAACATCAAGAGCACCGTTGAGATCATGCGCGACCTGTCTCACTTGCGCTTCAGAAAGGTCTTTAGCCCTAGTCCTAGACTTTAGACAGGGCCGTGATTATTCCGTATATGACAGTGTCTAGACCTGCATTCTATGCATGTCATGAGTTTTAGATGATGATGAAATGGGATATGTATTCAAATTGTATTTATACATTAGCTTACCTCAAGCTTCTAGAAATGATCTCCTTAAGATTACTGCCACAGTTAATCATATCATGGTAAATCTTATTGTTTTGAAGGTATGCAATGGATGTGAGTTGGGGTCGTGAGATAGAACGGATGAGGGTCAGAGTATACCATTCTGAATACAAATCTAGTTGCAGGCAATACAAACAAAATATCTTGATGCTGAGATATGTCACCCTCTAAACATAGGAGCTCCAATAAACTGGGAACAGAATTTGGTTGCTCAGGATGTAAGCTGGGTGCGTCGAATGAACGAACCAAATACATGCAGAGTAAGGGTGAGTTATCGGTTCAAAATATACGTCATCTATTGTATTATGCAGTACCTCTCGTATAGATTGTCTATATTCGATTACCGTCATCATGCGCAACAGTCACTTCGACCTGCTTCCGAATACCAGCCGATCCCGCCCCAGTGTCCTGACTACTCCCACCCGTCTCAACCCCGTCAAGGCTATTCCGACTACCGAGTATATGGTCGACGCTCGCCCCATCATCGCCACGATTCCTGGTGGACAGCATCCCACGCAACCGCGAATCAGTCTTCCGATGCGAGCTCTTCTGTGCTGTAACTGACGTCGTCGCCCCTCGGGACCCCGTGAACGCTGCACCCAGCTCGTACGAGCGAGACCGCTGTCCGCTACTCGTCATATAATGGAATCCTGACAGAATAAGGGAGCGGAGACACGGCAGCGACGCGGTGATCATCACCAGGTTTGCTTCGATGTATCCCCAGCGGAGGAGGTTGGTCGTGCCGCCTAGCGAGCCGTTGTGGATCTCGGGGAGCTGGATGGTTTTGCCGAGAGCGGCGCCCATGGCACTATTTTTATTGGCATTAGCAAGCAGGAAGAAGAAGGAACGGCACGAGCAGAGCAGAGCAGGGCAGGGCAGAGGAGGCTAAGGCTTACATCAGGCCGCAGCTCATGAGGGCCACCAAACTGATTTTGATCCCGAGTTTGAGCTTGAGGTGCCAGAAGATATAGGTCGGGACGACGGCCAGGTAAAGATCAACGAAGACGTTGAATGCTGGAAACGAATCGTCAGTTGACCTTCGCTAGGAATATTGCAATGTCCATGGCATACCGCTCTGGAAATAGCCAAAGTTGATCTGGATGGTGTCCGACACACACGTCCCCTCAACCGCGTAATCCCAAAGCATCGACACGGGCGTGCAAGACGCAAACAGCATGATGACGACCACAGAATTGATGATCACCTCCATCACGGCCAGGGCCGTCAGGATGATGCGCTGCCATTTCTTCCCGCCCAGGATGGCCAGGAGGTACAGCACAAAGGCGGCGCGGCCGAGGGCTGTACAGAGGACCAGGAACGCCAGTGCGATGATGTAGAATTTTCGACCCGTCGTCGCGCCAGGTTCGGGGACGATTTCGTCCGGCAGGCCGTATCCGTAATTGACTGCAGTGGTGTTCAGGGAGCCGGCGATGATACCCAGGATCTAAAGCGGCGGTGTTATAGAAGACTCTGTGTAGAGCGCACGAGCAGTACGTACCAGCGCGCAGACCATCACGACATCGTCTGACCGGAATTGGCGAATCCTCGTTTTGGCCAGGACGCGCAAAGAGACCACGACCGCCGAGATGCCTGTCAGAACCCATATCAGGACCACCATGCCCGTTCCGCGTGGGTTTGAAGCAGTCATTGTCATTTCTGCGAGAATAGACTGGCTATCCAATTGTCACCTATCCAGCACAGTCAAGAACGATCTGCATATCGCACTAGAAACAGAGAATGGACCGTCCAGAAGAGAGGGAAGAGAAAGGAAAAAACAAGCAAAAGACGACCTTGTCAAGTAATAATAACTGCTTGACAGCGGCCATCGCAAACCCCTGGCCAGCCTCTGCCCCACTGCTAACGGCGAAATCGGCAAACAACCTATCGAGATGGACAGCCAAGATTCGAATTTGCCGGTCAATCCTCCTCCACGAGCATCTAGTCTAATGGTTACTCGCCAGGGCCCACTCACACGACTCCTACTGAATCCAGCAACCTAGTCGCCGGGTCCAGTAGTAGCAGCGCTAGAGCCTTGTGTACATGTCGGCTGCAATAACCTAATTCCCGAAGGAAGAACCTTCCATTTACTCCCTGTTTGGTACGTATTATTGGTGGCTTGCTCCTGCGATTCCATCACTCTGGCAGTAAATACAACCCAACGAGGCAACGATACAAACCAGACGGGATGCTATTGTAGCAGCGAGCGAATTCAATCTCAGCTGAGTGACCCAACAGAGCCCGTCACCGTCAGCCTGTAATTGCCATGCCAGGTCCATACCACATAAGATATAGTAGGCATGCTGGTAAGAATGCCGACAGGTGATACCACAGCGAGCTCAGAAATCAACTCAGGGCATCGGCCAGTATCCATATCTCGACCGAAACCCACCGTTGCCAACTCGCCACAACGGTCAGACCCCTCCCAGGATCCGTAGGGCGTTCCTTCTAGACCTTAAAACTCGTCCTCCGACCCATAAGGAGCTGAACTGAAATCAAGGCTTGTTATTTACATGCTGTGCGTTATTCATAGTCTAACTTCCATTATCTATAGCTATCTACTATTAGTAATTCGATAAACAACAATGGACGACGGTGCTCGTAAACCTGGGCAAGGGACAGTTGAGAATCGAGACGGCAGAGTGGACTGTCAGTTGGCGAATCACGTTGCGTGTTGCAATTAAAGTTGCAGCTACGATGGAATAAACTTCGGGAGAGATACAATTTTCCGCTCCGCTGCATGCTCGCATAAGCATTATGTAAGAAACCTTGTTTTTGTTTTGCCTGGTAGGCTTCCCGCTAGGCTGCTTCCGGGTAGTGGCTGGACCCTGCGTTTCTGGATTAAGTGCGGAGTAGCGAGTGCCGACACCATGTGGCGATAATACGATTAGCTTCTAGTTTCATTGGTTCACATAGGATATGCTATTTTTACATCTGTGCATGATGTTTATGTAAATAATGCCAATGACACATAACGTCGCAATACATCCGGCAATATGTGCTACCAGCCAAATATTTCAGCCACACTCAATATGCTGAACCGTACGCCAGCGACAGAGAATAAGATCAATACAATATCCACCACGCCAAGGACAGCAGCCCCCATCATGAATCGAGGGCAGAAGATCCGGTAGAGCATGAGGTGGCGGCGCAGGTGGCCAGCCCACATCGTCGTTGCGAGGTTGATCGTTGCAAAGTAAAGAATATATGTCGCGGCCGCTTGCGCGACATCGGACAGAATTCTGGTAGTGGGCGTGCTGGATGTGGTGGATGAGCTGCTATCGTGCAGTTGGAGGGGTCGTTTCCACAACACCGTGAGAGGAACAGCAATTGCAGTGAGGATCGGCGCGCCGAACGTGTTGAGGATTACCAGAATGGGCGACCAAGGATATTGAACAGAAGACAAAGGGATGAACGCAGTTTCCCATTGGATACTGGTGAGGGTGGCCTGGTGTCCGGTCTTGAAGAAGTGGAACGACCCAAGAAGACCCAAGACTATAGGCCCGATGGCTGAGTTGCCCATAACAAGCCCATTCGTGTCAAGGATCTCAAGAAGTGAGAGGATCTGCCACAGCAGCAGGCCGATTGCCCCCTGGCCCATCGGTTTCTGCATGAGAATGATGGCCAGGCAGAAATTGATGACGAGGAGGAAAGCTCGCGTGCCATAAACATTCCCGAACCCCAAAATAGTAACGGTTTTTCTGGCCGGTTCTCTACCCTCGGATTCAGCACCGCCTTGGCTGACGCTTATGCTGACGCATGGTTTGGTGTAGACGAACGCGGTTGTTCCAGCGGCGAATGCAAGGGCAAGGACGATCTGAGCGAGGAATACGCGTATGGTCTTCAAGGTCTCTTTGCTCAAAAGGCCCCATTCACCGTCGTCGGCAGCCTCGAGCGTCCAGAAAATGGAAGCGACAAAGAGACCGAACCGGAACGCAAAGCCAATCCACAATGTCGCTGCTCCTTCATAGGATTTGGAGCCAGCATAGAAAGACCGGACAACTGCCGGAAGGACAAGGGTCACGAGAAAGGGAATGACAAGTTGCCAGGGAGCAGACGTAGAGGATGTTGTGGAAGCATAATAGGTGGAGCGGCAGAATGGCATCTGCTCTTCGCGGCACAGACGAGAGAAGGACGCAATTCTTCCCAGAATCACAAATAAGATTGAATGATAGACTCCAAGCACCCGGTCAGCCGTTGACTTCTGCCGCATCGACGATGCACCCGCGACGACTCCAAAGGTGGAAAGGAAGAACAGGAGGATTTCATCCTCCCATATTGTGTACGAGTTCGATGCAAAGCCTATCGATTGGGACACTGTGAAGACAATTGCGAGCCATCCCCAAAGACTATTGGGGAGAGGCAACACTATGCGCCCAGGCTTACCAAAAATGGCACACGAAGCGCCAATGATGCTTCCTATGGCAGCTAGCAGAGCAGAAGACTCGACTGCTCCAGCAGACAATATGCGAGAGTAAGACAAGCAAGCTCCAGTCACAGCACCCAACACGGATCCCACCCCGACGGAGGAGAGCAGAGACTGAGTGAGTTCTGTTCGGGCGGCTTTCATACCTCGTGCGTAGAAGACGAGAAGAACGATCGCTGCAGAAAGAATTGCGACGCCCTGCAACATGCTGGGTACATCAAACTTCGCCCATAGCCCACGGCAGACATGCAAGATATGCCGTTGGTACTGGCGATGCAATTCAGAAGCCGAACGCGGAACTTCCACATTCAATTTACCAGCTCTGGGGAGCTTCTGCCAGGCGCTCTCTGCGGCTTCCCAAAGCTCCTCTGATCCAAGTGACTGGGCTTCATCCGCACCATGCGAGGATGTATACTCGTGCTGATACCGTCTGATTTGTGCAGAGGTCAAGCGGTTTACTGTGGCAAGATTTTTCCAACCGTTACCCCCAACTCCGATGAAAGCCTCCTCGATCGGAGAACCAAGGTTGTTGAAGGGGATCGGCATCCCCAGAAGAAGTGACAGAGTGGGAACGAGGTCTATCTGGGGAATGAAACGTTCCCGTGCGGTTTTGGGAGGACTAGCGGTCTCCGAACTCGTACGGCCGAAGATTGCCTTCTTGGAATACATCCACAGAGCCGCCTCAACTTCGTCGTTTGACTCGCCCCCGTGGTCGCCCTTGGAGTCCATTCCGTGATCACCCATGACCACCAAAAGCGTCTTGTCATCTAGCTTGGCAATGATGTCTCGAACTACTCGATCCATCTCGCGGAGTTTTGCGGCCATAGCCTGGTGGTTGGGTCCATATCGGTGCCCGGCATGATCGACGCCGAGATAATGACCGAAAATGACATCCCATTTCGTCGAGTTGTCAGGATGCAACAGCGGGAAAAGATGATCGTTGACTCCATTGTCAACAGTGTGCAAGTCCCACACGTTGAAGGAATCGAAAGGGCGTGTCAGATCAGCGTCGAAGTAGCCCGGGAAAAGAGCATGCCAGGTATCATCTCCCAGGTGGACCAAGGTCTTGCCTGCCGCGTGTAGCTGCGCAACGAGGTTATCTTCGTCGATTGCCGTTCCGGCAAAGTTGGATCCAGCATCCACAAATGTAGGCAGAGTGCCCGTTGTCAGTCCTTTGAGTCGTTGCAATGTCGTGGTCGGCGGGTCCGCAATGAATGGAAGCAAGAAAGCGTTTTCGGGAGACTTGACAGCCGTTTCGTACAAAACTGGTATGTTGTTATGAAACAGGTGCGCTGTTTCACTTTCTGTTCCTGGCACAAAAGGTACCGTAAAGTCGTACCGCAAAGCATCTATAATGATCACAATAGCCTTGTCAAATGACTTTTCATGCCAGCATCCTTGCTTTCCTTTGCTCGCTGATGAAGACGAAGAAGGATCGTCGAAAGGAAGAACATCACAAGCCGATTTATTTTCCAGGACCATCCGAGTGAGAAGGAAACCTTTCGTAAAAAAGAATATGCCAGCAACATGCAAAAGCCTAGGATCATTTTGACCAGTCAGCCCTCCGCATCCAATAAAGACCAAAAAGCCTCTGAGCAAAAGGGGGAAAGCTTACAGTATCCAACCGAACACACCCAGTATTCCTAAATGTTTTATTGTGAAGGCGCGCTCAAATTCCTTCGTCTTGTCCGCTGGCGCTTTAGTCGTCTTTCCCGGCCGCAATTGCGGTCGTGTTGCTCGAAGGTCGCCGGGTTCGGAAACCCGCGGCGAAGATGTTCCAGGGGAAGAAGCCGCCGTAGGTCGCGAGCCTATGGAGTTCGGACGGTCATAGCCGGCCCCAGAGGTTGTCGGTGAGGCCATTATGGGCACACAAGTCAGAGTAGAATGAAAGCTAGTTCATCCAATGGTCAAAGTTGCCCGTAGCTTTCTCGTTGTGACGAAAGGTGTTGTCGCGCAATATATTGGCAGACGCCTGCAAGTGCTGGAGTGGCCTCGATGCTAGAAGCTCCGAGGAAATTGGATCATCAAATGGACTTCATTGATATTGTAAGGACTGAGATCAGGAGCTGAAGAACAGAGGAAAGAAACTAAAGGCCAAAAAAAAAGAAGGTATACCCTATCTGAGCTGTCAAGTGTGCTCTCCAATCGAAGCCGACTCAAAGCACGTTCATGACAGCTCAAATACAACAAATAGAACAAAATGAACCGTAATAATGAGAGACTCGTTGCCA